AGGAATGTTTGCGGAAAAAATAGATAGGATTACACGCAATATGCAGATTGCGATTTGCTTCTGTGGCGTTGAGTGGACCGAGCATGAGAAAGATACTTGCTACCGAGTGCTTTTCAAAAACTAAGGTGAGAAGGCAGACATACGCAAAGGCCTTGTGTTTAGTTTCTTGTTGCCAGAAATTGTACGTTCTCTGAACCGTACGCTGAGTTATGCCTTGAAAAAGGAATATTCTATTGCCCAAGTCTAAGGAAAGATTCAGCAACTCATAAATTATTTTGATGAATTTTCAAGTTTCTTATTGATTCAAGGAGTCCGAGTGCGTGGTGATGCTACCCTTGTTAGTGTAAACAACATGTACTGGTTGTACGTGTGAGGTAAAATGGTTTTTATTTAGTTTGTTCATGCATTTTGCGACCGGCCATAACTCTAAAAATTTTTAAATTTAATACACATGAAGAGACAGACGCATAGGCATTTTTGCATTGGTACGTATTCTCTTGGTATCGTGAGTGTTACGAGGTTTTTACCAAGCGCAATGCATCGACAATCGACTTGGAGGGCGGCAGGGGCGGATCCAAAAAATTTAATTGGAGGGGACAAAATAATTTTTAATGACATACTTTATTGAAAAGACGAAGTTGCATTTCTAGAATAAAAAAGAAAAATGAAAATTGCGAGATCTATTACTACCGAGATAATCATCCATGGGTTTCATGACTTGAGAGGACGTCGAGCACAATTCTAATAGTCAAAGAATTTACAAGAAAGTCATCTTCCATTTTACTTCGAAGTTTGGATTTAACAATAGTCATAGCAAAAAATGCACGCTCTGTGCTAATAGATTATTTAGTGATAGTCATTACATATACGAATGATGAATAAATACCATGATTTTCAAAACCGAACGGACCGGACAGTCCGATCAGTTGAACCGAGAACCGGCCAATTCACTGGTCCGGTCTCTAGAAATAAACGTTGGTCCACAAAACCGGTCAAGAACCGGTCAATGGTCGGTCCAACCGGTCAAAACCGGTTATAAACCGGTTGGTTCAACCAGTCAGGTTTTTCTTGTATTCTAATATACAAATTCTAACACATTTTATAAAACAAATAACATCTTACGCTAACTGATGTGGGACAAATTAGTAGTAAGAATTTCAATTGATGCACATGGGAGGGGAGGGATAAATTGGTAGTGAGAATTTCACTTAATGCGCATGGGTGGGAGAAAACTTCTTTTTCCATATTTTGTTCTATTATTTAGTCATCAATTACAGAACAAGTGATTGGTTAATATCATCACGTCTTCCTTTCATATCCAAGTTATAGAGAACTATATTCAATCATGTAAAATATCAATAAGCACAAAACAAGTAGCAAAAAACTTGAATTAATTAAAAAATAAATGAACCACAACAATCACTAGAGAATAAGATAAAATTTTAATCACTGTTATTTTATTACTTAATCTATAAATTATTGGATCAATCTTTTAAAAAATAAGTCAACTATATTTAATATTTATAAAATATTATATACTTTAAAATATCAATAAATTAAAAAACTTAAAAATTAAAGTAACTAAATTTATGAAATATTATATATATTTAAAAATATCAATAAAATAAGTAACGGTCTAACCGGTTCAACCACTGGTCGACCAATGAACCATTGAACCAGTTGCTTGACCGGTTCGATGACCGGTCCGATTTCCGGAACATTGATAAATACACACATGTTTTAAACCCTTAATCCCTAAAAAGAATAAATAAATAAAATTATGAACATGAGCACGAATTAAAGTACTCGTAAATATAAAAGAATGATTAAATTATTCAAAAGGATCAATTGACCGACGATCTTTGTTGTTGCTGCAAAATTGTTCTATTTTTTTACCTTGCAAGCTTGCCTCCGCTGTGTTGTGCACTCTTGAATTGAGTTTGTTTCTTTATATTAATTAGAGTAGTTTTATTAGTGTTATTAATAAAAAAAAATAATATAATACAATAAAAGGTGGAAGTTAAATGAGCTTTTTATGAATTATTTTCTATATATTTTCTAATTGGCCTTGGCTTGTCCTAGCCCACATAATCTCAATCAATATATCCTTAGTTAATTGGTTAATGAGAATAATGATAGTTAAATATACTTAATCTAATATATTACATATATATATTTAGGTAAAAAAAATCAAAAGTTTTGGGGGGACCTTGGCCCCCCTAGGTATGCGACGGTCGGAAATGAGCGTGGATGGAGCTCTTTTCATGGAGTATTATCGTGAAGAAGATGAGAACAGTGAATGTCAAGTCCGGCAAATTACCTTTTTGCCCCTCACTTTCAATGTTGGACTTACAATGCTTAGTGGGCTGAATTGGTGATCCATTAGAACAAATAAAATGGGCCTGATAAATATTTCTTATGGGTTGTGTAATTGGGCTCTTCCCAATACATGGTTCGCACTCCTTTTATGTCCGTTTCACGCCATTTTCGATTCTAAAAATTATTTAGACTATATTTACTGTTAAAATTTAAAATAACACACTTCATCATAGCTTCATAAAAGTAATTAAATAATAAGTAATTAAATATTAAACTACAACAAAATAGGCACAAAAATTACTCTAAAATTCATGTTAAATTGACGCCTGTCATCTGCCACACTTGCTTTTCCCTCATGCAAAAAAAGCATAGTATGTTCAATGCACTCCTCCTCCTCTCCACATGACTAACAGATTGTATTTATTGGTTCCCCTCTACTTCTCAGTTCTTACTGGAAGAATATCATTATAACACTTCTATAGGAAATGCTTTAGTTTCCCTTTAACTCTCAGCTTCCGGGTTCTTCTTCTGACTTTCTTGCTCCACTCTGCACCATCACTGCTTTCTGCCTAGTGTAAGTCCCTTAATTTCTTTTTCATCATCACAGAATAGGCATTGGCTACAGAAAAAAAAAAAACAACGATTTTCATCATAAGTCTAAGTCCATCTATCAGGTAAAGTTGGATCCAGTGACTTGATATGCTTGATGTGATTCGAATCCAGTGACTTGATCTGCTTGATGTGATTCTTGTCCTCTTCATTAAACATTGCTAACTCCTTGCAACATCTTCCCCCATCCTCTAGGAGTTCTTCCACCCAAGTCATTGCACTCTCACACTCTGTTGAGTACTGGAATCCCTGATCTTGAATTAGGAATCCAAGGGTTATTCCATTTCTTTGTTGACCATTCGTCTCTTATTTGCATTATGAACCCCTCCTGAAACTTGTCCCTGACTCTTAGCCAATTATTCCAAAGCCAAGATGCTCCAGAGGTGATCCTTTCTTGAAATAGAGTCATGAGGAAATTCTCCCTTTTTAAACCTGACTCGTTAACAAATTAGGCTTCGTGGCCACCCTCCATATTTGCTTCAATGTTAGGGCTTCATTAAACTTGCCTAAGTCATGAAGAGCCCAGTCCACCATCAACGTTAGGAACTGTCACAGAAGTCCAAGCTTTCCCCTTTACTCCACCAAAATCCTGCACATAACTTAGATATTTCCTTGCGAACTCCTTTTGGAAGGCAGAAGCAAGACATAAAAAAGATAGTTACTTAACAATAAGTTAGTTCTTGCTACTTAACATACGAAAATTTAAAATACTTTTTAGTAACATTGCAAGGACTGAGGTGTTCGCGTTCGAAATCAATTTCGTTGCAGTAACTTGTTTCTTTAAATATAAAGGGGTCACATTGTTTTAGAATATCTAATTAAATATTGTAATCAATAGGTTTCATGATGCAACCTTTTATGTGATACGCCAATTTTTGGTTCTACAGATTCTAGCAGTGTTGCCAATGTTCTTTTGAAGCAGTAATGATTTTGGAGTAGTATTATGACTTGTGGTTGTTAAGGTATCTTCAAACATAGTTTCAACATAGGAGTAGTATTATGACTTGTGGTTGTTAAGGTATCTTCAAACATGGTTTTAACATATGACAATTTCAACACATTAGTTAACACTTTAAAATCATTTATCCGGCTATACTTTTGCTAAATTGTTTGTAATGTGTTTTATAATGAGTTGATTTAGTTAGGGGTTGTGCCGTTAAATAATGAAAGTTGAACCAGTTTCATGCAAATTGATATGGTTCTTTGATGGGTCTACTTCTAGATTCTGGAGTAAACCGGTGGATGTGAGCTCAGATCTGCTTGAACCGCCTTCGGATCGTTGCTAGACCGCGAGATACCTGCAAAAACTCAACGCCGGAGGTGTTTCCGGCGTAGAGCCTCCGACTCTCAAGTCAGTATGAGAGTGACGAAGAGAGGCTGCGCAACAGCTATGGGGGAGAGTGGGAGTGAATGAGAGTTAGGGTTTACGGTTACCTCACCTCCTTTATATAGGAGTGAATATTTACCTGAAGTACCCAGAATGCCCAAGTCGGTGGACCTAGAAGGTCCAAAATGCCCTGGTCGATTCGTCTCCCCTTGCTGCTGAGTCATCTCAAGATTCCTTCTTATCCTTTGAACCGTATAGGGTTTCGGATATGTTATAAGTGTGGTGAATCGTCCTTACTGCTTTGATCCTCGAGATGTATAGAGTCGACCTCGAGGGCTAAGAGGTCGACTTATGAATATGTGCGGCTTCGGAGGCTACGCTTGGTTTAACCCTCTGCGGTGAAGTCGTCTTCAGAGTCGTCATCTTTGAGTCGACTAGACGAAGTCGACCTAGGGTATCTAGATGCTTGGGAGTTACGCTCTTGATGTTCTTCTCCAATTGATGTCGACTAGTGAAAGTCGATAGACTAAGGTCGACTTTAGGGAAGTCGACTAGACCAATTTCTGCTTCTTCTCGGTTGCTCTTGGTAGAATCGACTTTAGGGAAGTCGATGTGAGAATGTCCCCCAAAAAAAAATTACTTTAAGCAGTCGACTGCTTAAGAGTAAGTTTGGTGAAGTATAACTGTGTCGCCTTCCTACCATTCTTGCTCGTACTGGCTTCTTCTACAACTCATCTCGCCAATCGATTAGTGCACATCTCAATCTCATGATTGCTCTTTCGGATAAGTCTGACACTCTGACAAACCTATTTCAAATTTCAAATTTTGAAACCCTAAAGTGACGCGCGTCATCTCCCTCGCCGCCTCTTCGAATTCCGTGCCTCATCAGGGTCGTTGGTTATCTTGATGATCCGACGGTTCACACCCATCCTTATCTTATATAAATATACTTCCATCTATTAGAAAATCACTTTTCGCATTTCCGAACTTTCTTACTTTCTCAAACTCCCTCAAGCATCTCCGGCGATCTTTGCTCTTCGGCTTCACCGGCGCTCCTCTTTTCCGGCAACTTCAGGCTTATTCGCAGATCAAGCCAACTACGCCATCATGTGTACGTTCATTATCTCCTCTCAATTTTCAATTCTTCTGTCGATTTTTACTTTCTCTGATTCTTTCTGTGTTTCCAGAGCTTTAGAAGTTCATATGTGTTCTTCATATTCCTTATGAACTTCTTATGGGTTTCGCGCTTAGATCTCTTTACGGGTGTACTCTGCTAGGATTTATTGTTTTTACCAGTCGTCGGCTGCCGATATGCAGTCGATTTTCTCCTGTCACTGAGTTGGCTTTTGTCGGCTTAGTGTTCTTCTTTCCTTAGTATTCCTCTGTCGAATCGACTAGGATTGACTTACTGATTTATTTGGATCAGCTATCGATAGCAGTTTCCCCTTCTCTATTCTTTTATCTTCTGTCGATTCCTGTGAGTCAATTTGACTCGTTCACGTGGGTTTAACTCGTGATTTTACTAACTTCGACCTTCTCTTTCTTTTTCTTTCCTTAGCTTCCGACTCGTCCCCTCTATCCGGCTCCCTCGGTCAGCAGATCAACGACTATACCCATCTAGTCGACGAGGGCTCTAGTTCTGACTCCGTCGAGGTGACCGGCTATAAGATGATTTCGCAGCCTTCCGATCCTTCTCTCCCTCTCGTCACTGCTTCCTCCGCCGACTGGGAGCAGTATGACCAAGCACTTTTGGAAGGCGGCTTAGTCGACATCGTTAAGATCCCTTCTCGGGGAAATCCTCCTCGTCTCGATCTTATTCCTCGAGGTATTCCTCTTAGGCTATTAGACATCCCTGTTTATAGAACAAGCCCTGTATCTGTACCAATAATTGTTCCACTTCTTAATTATCAAAATACTGTATCAATAGCTTGTCCCTTAGCTAGGTTAGCTGTTTTAAATCCTTTTTGTTATGCCTCTGCAGCCGAGGTCGAGGGCTTCAGGAAGTTTAGCGGGCTTCCTTCCGACTGGGAGTTAGTCGCCCCAGGTCCCAATAACGACTTCGCTCACCCTCCTCCCGGCTGTCATACATTTTTTGTAGACCAAATCGTCTTCGGCCTTCGCTTCCCTATCCAAGATAAGCTTCTGTTGATAAGTAACCTGTATAATATCCCAATAAACCAATTTTCTCCAAATGCTATCCGTATTATGATAGCCTTTATAGTTGTCTCTCGAATAATACTCAAATTCTTCTCGCCCGAGTTTTTCTTCTATTGCTACGGTTATCGACTCTCCAAAGGCGCTCATTGCCTGGGTCGTCGTGCTGGTGTTACCTTTCTTGACGATCTCTCGTTGAATGTCACCGAGTGGAAATCGAAGTTCGTTTTCATTCGACCTGCGTCTGGCATGTATCCTTATGTAACTAAATGGATAACCTCGAAGGTGAAACAAAATAAACGGCCTCGTTCTGACGAGTTCGCTACTCTCTTGACGGAGCTTAATAAGCATACATATAGTGCTCGTCAGTTGATAAAGGACCGTGAATTGGTCAATCACGCCCGAATCGTCATTTACGAGGATCTTCCACGCCTCGATGACCCTCGTAAGCTGTTATTGTTCCTTCCTGTGCAACTGTTTATAAGTTTCGATTATTCGCATCATGACTGCTAAATGTTCTTCACACGCTAATTTTTCTTCTTCTATTATTTCAGTTAAAGCGCTCAAACGCTTCGAGCTCAAGAAGGGCCAATCGTCTGGCCAACCTGCTGGCGGTTCTGCTCCTCCCCTTCGACCCTCAGGTGGATCTGGGCCGAGGCCCGTTGCTGCGGCTGTCGGGACGACAGCTGCCGGACAATCCAGGGTCGAGAATCCTGGTGCTTCCCAACACAAGTCGTCAGGCTCCTCCTCTCGCAAGAGGGCCCAGAACGATCGGGCCGTCATCCTTATTCCCGACGACCTTAAGCGTTGCAAGGTCGACAAGGGGAAGGGAAAGGCGGTCGGGAAGAAAGCCCCTTCCCCTATCACCGTCAAGGACGTGACGGTCAAGATGCCCTCTCGGCTCTGGAATCACCCGGAGCCGTACCATGTGGCCAAGTACCTCAACTCCCTCATCCCGGAGGACGACAAGGAGCGTGTCGACGGGAACCTATACGAGCGCTCGAACTACGCTGTTCAGTGCCTCTCCCGGATATCTTTCCTATCCCTCAATCGACTCGATTTTTGTGTTTTTTCTTTTAAACTTGATTCATCTTTTTCTTATCTGTTTCTAATGTTTTTATTTTTTATTTTTATTTATTTTTGTGCAGTTCCTGGCCGCAGTGCTCCCCTGCTTCGAGTAGACGAGCAAGGCTCCTCTTGCCCCTTCTAAGTCCCTCGAGGACAAATGCGAAGCTCAGCGCCAGGAAATCGAGGCGCTGAAAGAGGATCTGGAGGCTTCCAAGGCCCTGGTCGACAAGCTAAAGGCCGACAAAGCTGTGTTTCAGCATCTGAACGACAAGCTAAAGGCCGACCTCGACAAGGCTCGTGATGAGTGCATGGTCGAGAGAGAGAATGGCATCGAGGAGGGGCGCAGAACCTTCTTGAAGTCCCCTATGGGCGCCATCTTTCTCGAGACCTATCGCCAAGAGGTCGTAAAAGCCTTCTGCAATTCCCCTGCCTTCCTCGACAAGCTTTGCCCTGCCGTCGCCCAGCATTTCGACTTTGCTTTTGACGCATAGGCGGCGGTGGTAGAGGGGTCCGACT